GAGAACGACAGACCTACTAAACACTGCATTATCTACTTAATGTTAATATTCCTGGCGGAATGCAGTGAAGCTCTCCGACCACTCAGGCTTCTCTGCCCCCCCCCCTTGCAGCGGTCTCACATTTTACCTCGACGAGCATTGGAAACCCCACAGGCAATGTTATAGATTTTGCTTTCAACATATTTCTAAGAACTTAAGAGGAGCAAATTAGCCTATTCTGTTTACCCCGCTGCTTACCATTTCGGTTGCTCTTTCTTCATTTCTAGGTTTCCAGGGTTCACTCCCGTGTGGCTTCCCTCATACCTAAGGGCTCTTCCGGAGCATGTCCGCTGGGGCCGAATGTTCTCAGTTTCTCTTCTCCTGAGAATGTCTTCGTTTCCTTCATTCATGGGAAATACTTTGGCTGGGTATGAAATTCTGGGTCGACAGTCCTTTTCTTTGAACACCTTATAAATGTCATTCTGTAGCCTCTTGGCCTCTGTGGTTTGTGATGAGAAATTTGCGATTCAAGTGGGTTTTCCTCTCTATATAATGTGTCGTTTTTTTTCTGACACTTTGAAGACTTTTCTCTTTATCTTTCTTTGGTTCCCGGCAGTTTGAGTATAACGTGTATAGTCTCGATTTTCTCCAAGTTTATTCTTTTTGAGGTTCACTGAGCTTTATGAATCTGTAAACTTTTTTTTTTTTAATTTTACCTAATTTCGGAAATTTTCAGTCATTATCTCTTCAAATACCTTTTGCTCCACATTAGCCCACAGGTCCCTAAGGGTCTGTTCTTTGTTGTCGATCTTTTTTCTCCTCTGGTTCATGCGGAGTAATTGCTGCCAGTCTTCAAGTCCACTCATCCCTCTCCTGTCTTCCCCATGCTCTTACTGAGCCCATTCAGTGACTTCTTTCTGTTATTGTGTTTTTAAGTTTTAATATTTATTTGCTTGTTTATAAATTCTGCGTTTCTGCCGAGAATTATTCATTTATTTTTTGAGACAGAAGTCTCGCTCTGTCGCCCGGGCTAGAGTGCTAGTCCACAGCACAGTTTTGCTCCACATTAGCCCAACTCCTTGCCTCAAGCCATCCTCCTGCCTCAGCCTCCCGGTAGCTGGGACTACAGGCATGCGCCACCGTGCCCGGCTAATTTTTTTCTGTTTTTAGTAGAGACGGGGTCTCACTGTTGCTCAGGCTGGTCTCCAACTCCTGCAGCTCAAGCAGTCCTCCCGCCTCGGCCTCCCAGAGTGCTGGGATTACAGTCGTGAGCCACCGCACCCGGCCTCTGCTGAGAATTTTTACCGTTGCGTTAGTTTTAGGCGTGCGTGTCTTTTGCTTCGTGGAGCCTGTTTCTGGCAGTCACGTAAACACCGTGTCCCCGCCAACCTCTGGACCCACTCAGGTTGGCGTCTGTTATTTTCTCTCCTACCAGTTCTCAAAGTCCTCTCTGATGACTCCTGAGTACTTCTGGGCTGTGTCCCGGACGTTGTGGGCATCATCTAATAAGACTCTGGATCTTCCAGATCCTCTGGACGGCACCGATGCTTCTGTTGTTGCCGCAGCCGCCTGCGCAGCTCAGCCCCTCCTGTGGCCGTGGCTCCCGCGTGAGTTCAGGTTTCAACGCCTTTGTGGAGCGTTTGGATCCAACTCGAGTGTCCTCTTGCATTCGGTCTGCAACGCTGGCAGTGGCCTGCCCCTTGGCTGGCTTCTCAGAGCCTCTGCTGTGCTCTCCGGGGTCATTTCCACACGCGCTCAGCCCAGGGGTGAGCCTGGAACCCCAGACACAGCGTCGTGGGACCCCCTTTGCCTCCTGAGTGGCTCCTCCCCACACTCTGGGCCCCTTCCCTGGTCCTCTGGCTCTAAGCTGGGGCGTTTTGCCCCGTGCATCGTCACGTGTGTCCTGTGACTGGCTCTCTGTGTGGCAAAGGCACTCTGACAGTCACGGCAGCTGCTGTAGCTGCTGCCACCAGCCCTGGGGGAGGGCAGCCTCAGGACAGGGTCTGCCGTAGTGCGTTTCCTGCGCCCCTCCCCGTTCGGGCCCCGGGTTCGGGATGGAGGGTTCTCCTGGTGAGGCCGCTGTGCCGCTCACTCGGAGGCCGGGCTGCCTGGGTCTAAGCCAGGGGATGCGGGAGAAGGGAAAGCAGAACACTCGCCGGCGGCGGTCTTTCCTGGCGCTTGGGTGTCTCCCCCAGGCCTGTCTGTGTGTCACTCCGCGGTGTTTTAGCCGTGGGCGGTCACGGCGGCCCAGGGGACCGTGCTCACCCTACCCTCGCTGGACCCCAAAGCCACTGCACTTTTCTTCTTATAAATACTTTTTTTTTTTTTTTTTTTTTTGAGACAGAGTCTCACTTTGTTGCCCAGGCTAGAGTGAGTGCCATGGCGTCAGCCTGGCTCACAGCAACCTCAATCTCCGGGGCTCAGTGATCCTACTGCCTCAGCCTCCCGGGTAGCTGGGACTACAGGCACGCGCCACCATGCCCGGCTGATTTTTTGTATATATATTTTTAGTTGGTCAATTAATTTCTTTCTATTTTTGGTAGAGACGGGGTCTTGCTCAGGCTGGTTTCGAACTCCTGACCTTGAGCGATCCGCCCGCCTCGGCCTCCCAAAGTGCTAGGATTACAGGCGTGAGCCACTGCGCCCGGCCTTTTCTTTTTTTTTAAAAGTCTGGAATATTTTTATTGAAATTATTCAGCTCCACCTTCTTTTTTTTTATTTATTTTTTCCCAGCATATTGAGGGGGCACAAATGTTAGGGTTACGTATATTGTCCATGCTCCCCCCTTCTCCCCTTGAGTCAGAGCTTCAAGCGTGTCCATCCCCCAGTTGGTGCACATCACATTCATCATGTATGAACATGCCCATCCACTCCCCCTCACCTGCCCGACACCCGATAGATGTTACCCCTGTGTGTCCATTTAGGTGTTGATCCGTTAATACCAATTTGCTGGTGAGTACACGTGGTGCTTAGTACTTTTCATTTCAAATAGTGTCACTAAGGTCTAATTTACATGCCAATGCTCTTTCTTAGCGTGCCACTGGATGATTTTGGGTGAGAGGCTCAGAGTTGTGCAGTCATCACCACAGCCCATTTCAGAACGTTCCATCACACCGTCCAAACCCTCCCACCCACTGGCAGCACTCCCTCCCACTTCCTTTTTACAAAACAGACTATGGGGAGGACGCAGAAAAGTGTGAACAGCACCAGGGCCGGCACCCCTACACCCGCCGGCCGCCGTATCCGATCGTGACATTTTGCTCGCTCTGCCCAGAGCGTTCTCTTCTTTCTTTTTGGTAAATAAAAGCTCTGCAAGGTAAAACGTCAGCCCTCTGCCTCCGGCAGAGGAACTAGTTTAGTGAGCCTCCATGTCCCCAACACAGGCTTCAGTGACAGTCACCTCATGGCCTGTCCTGCGTCGTCCACACCTGTCCTCACTCTGCCCCCAGCCAAATGCAAACCGTTATTCTGTCATCTGCGAATGTTTCAACACGTGACTCTGAAACATGGGGGCTCTTTCCCACAACCACAAAACCATTTTCACGCCTAAAAAACTTTTGAATAATAATAATTTCTTAGCCGGGCGCGGTGGCTCACGCCTGTAATCCTAGCTCTCTGGGAGGCCGAGGCGGGCGGATTGCTCGAGGTCAGGAGTTTGAAAACCAGCCTGAGCAAGAGAGAGACCCCGTCTCTACTATAAATGGAAAGAAATTAATTGGCTAACTAAAAATATATATACAAAAAATTAGCCGGGCATGGTGGTGCATGCCTGTAGTCCCAGCTACTCGGGGGAGGCTGAGGCAGGAGGATCGCTTGAGCCCAGGAGTTTGAGGTTGCTGTGAGCTAGGCTGATGCCACGGCACTCACTCTAGCCTGGGCAACAGAGTGAGACTCTGTCTCAAAAAAAAAAAAAAAAATTTCTTAACATGGTCCGTGCATTGTGATTGGTACATATGTCTCTTAAAGCTCTTTGTTTGTAACAGAGTCTCACTGTGTTGCCCAGGCTGGAGTGCAACAGCGTCATCACAGCCCACTGCAGCCTCGAACTCCTGGGCTCAAGCAATCCTCCTACCTCAGCCTCCCGAGTAGCTGGGACTACAGGGGTACATCACCACACCTGGCTAATTTTTCTATTTTTAGTCTCTACTGAAAATAGGGTCTCTTTCTTGCTCAGGCTGGTCTGGCACTCCTGGCCTCAAGGGATCCTCCCGCCTCTGCCTCCCAGAGTGCTGGGATTGCAGGCGTGAGTCTTAAATCTCTTATTCTACACATTTTCTTTTTCTCTCTCCCTTCCTCCCTCTCTCACAGAACCTATAGTATTTTCTTGCTGTCTGTCATGTTCTGTGCTATTGTCACGATGGACCCAGCGAGGGGACCGTGTCTGCCCGTCCCCAGGCGTGGGGTGGCCTCTCCACCGGGGTCCTCCCTCTCAGACCTGGGCCGGTTCTCCCATGTCGGAGCGTGTGGCCCTCGCTGTCCGCCGTGTGTGCTCCCTGGCACTCCCGCGTGCAGGTGCCGCCGTCGCACCGGGTTTCCTGCCGCGTCCGTGTCTCTCTCCGAGCCGAGTCCTCGGCTCCGTCCTCCTGCCCAGGGATTCGCTCTCCGGTTTCCGCTCTGCCCTCAGCAGGCGTGGGACTGTTTCCTCCCGCGTCGGCCTCGCCGGGACGCCTCTGCACCCCCTCCCTTCAGTGGGCGCCCCTCCCCTGCAGCTGGGCCCTCCCGGGGGGCACCCACCCCTCCCCAGTGTAGGGGTCCCTCGGTGCCGCCACTGGCTCATGTCCCCAAGAGGTGCCCCGTCCCATGCTGCTGTGCTTCTGGCCATGCACGCGAGTAACGACTGGCAGGTCCCCCGTCTCCGGTGGCCGTTCTCTGACGCCCCGCCACGTGGGGAGCGAGTGGGCGCGGAGAGGGGCTGGGGTGAAGGGCCCCAAGTGGCGCAACCCGCCACCTGCCACCCCACTTCCTCCGAGGAGGAGCTGGTGACAACAGGAAGCCCAGCCTCAGGCCCGCGTCTCCGCCCGTGTCTCCCAGCCGTGGCCCAGAGCCCCGTGGGGAGTGGTGGAGCCCCAGCCCTCCAGGACCCCTGCTGAGTGCCAGGCGCTGGGTGAGTGCACAGGGTCCCCGGCCCAGGGGAGTCCGGCAGGAAGGGGTCTGGGACTGTCCACGCCAGGGTCCCGAGGAACCGAGGCCCAGCGAGGGAGGAGCCTGCACTGGCGGGCAGAGCTCCTCGGGCACTGGGGCACCTGTAGCAGGGTGCGGCCCGCACGGGAGGGGACGCTGGCTGGGCCTGGGGATATGGGGCTGGGGGCCCGGCAAGGCCGGGAGGAGGCTGGGGGCTCACGGGGCTGCCCAGGCTGGCGAGTGGGGTCCTGGTGCAGCTGTTCGCGAGGGAGGGTCCCAGGGCCTCTCCATGGACCTGCCTTGTCCTGCCTGGGCTGGTCCCGCTCCGCCCACGTGTCCTGTCGGCCCAGTGAGTGCGTGTCCAGACCACACTGTGTGTGCGTGTGCGTGTGTATATGGTGTGTGGTGTGCATGTGGGGGTGTGTGTGCGTGTGTGGGTATGTGGCGTGTGTGTCCCTGGCACTGTTTTCCCAGCAGCCCCCGCACTGCCCTGGGACTGGTGAGCGTCACTGGCGTCCTCCGGCAGAAGGCGGGTGAGCCCCACGCCCTGGGGCGCAGGCGTTGCTGTGGACTCTGGTCCGGAGGGTCGAGGGCTCAGCTGGTGGCCGCCCGTGTCAGGCTCCCGGGGAACCCGTCCCGAGTCCTCAGGGGAGGGTTGCAGCCACGCCGGGATCCCGGCCCACCTGGGCCCCCTGGACGCCGCACCCCGGGCCAGCCCCCCGACTTCCTCCACCCCGGCGCCGCCCCACCCTCACAGCCAACCTCGTCCTCCCGGGGCTGCGGGCCGGGGTCCTGCACTGCTGTCCCCATCCAGGGTGGGAGGTGACACCCAGAGCCCCTCTGCTCTGGCACCTGGGACACCTGGGGGGGGCGGGAGGAAGGGGCAGCGGTGACAGGGACGGGAGAGGGACACGGCTCCAGAGCACCAGCTGGGCTGCCGTGGGGCAGAGGGGACGCTGCTGTCACCATGTGCTGCTGTCACCATGTTCCACTGACACCTGTGGGCTTGCGGCTGATGCCAGATTCTGGGGGAGTCTCGGAAGAGCTGCTGGAGCTCGGGGTTCTCCGATGTCGCCTCAGCGTTTGCTCATAGTGGATGACCCAACGCCTTACATCTTAGAACAGGACTGCCCCTCCCCCAGCCCACTGCCGATTCCGGGCCTGCCTGACGCCAGTGTGCTCCACGGCTCTCTGGGCGCAAGTGAGGGAGTCCTTCTGCCCAGGAGAGGTCCCTGCATGGCCGACGCTGAGCCCACTCCTCCACCCCTGGTCCACACCCAGGTGCCACACCCTGAGCAGGCCCACGGGACGGACGCCCCACCCCGCCCAGACCCCTGGCCGTCTGGGGCTGCGGCCCTCAGTGGGCGTGGGGACTGGGGCTGGCCCGGGGTTTGGGGAGGCTGGGCGCAGCTCTGCTTCTGTTCCAGCAGCTTGTGGCACACGGGGGGTGGGCAGAGGCCAGCGCCGGGAGAGGGGACCCGGCAGGCCAGGGCCTTTCCCCCTGGGGAGTGAATCGGCCTTTCCCGAGGGAGGTACCCGGGCCTCCTGGCCACACGGCACCTGTCCAGACACTGCCCGGGCAGTCCGGCTACTCTCAGCTGAGACATGGGTGGGTCCCTGCCTCGAGGTGGCGTCAACGTGACGTGCCAGGTGCACAGTGGCCCCGGGTGATCAGGCCATCCCTGGAGACTCCATGGGGGGCAGAGCCCCGGGACAGCGCAGTGCCCTGCGGGAAGTTCTGCGCAGGGCCAGCCGCCGGTGGGGGCTGGGAGGGGCCTGTCTGCCCTGTCTGGAAGGGCGTGAGGTGAGCAGACTCAGTGTTCCCAGCTGTGAAATGGGGGCATGGGCTGGGCGACTGTGCAAACTCAGCTGCCCTCATGAAGCTAGGGGGTTGGGCTCCAACTCTGCCCACTCCGTCCACTCCGGCCCAGGCTGGGCTCGGCAGGGGAGCAGGGGCCGAGGGCCGTGGGCCTCTGCGGACGGGGACAACAGAGCCTGTGGCAGCTCTGGGAGACCCAGGGTCCCCCGCTCCACAGCCGGGTGCTGTGTGGCCCCCCATCCGCACACCTGCCGTGAACCCCAGTCCTGCCTGAGGCCGCGTCCCTCTCGGCTTGCTCCAGTCCCCCGGGGGAGGTCGCTGGATGCCAGGGGTTAGTAACACCCGTTCACCCAGTGGCTACAGGCCAGCGAGGGGGAGCTCCAACCGGGGTTCTCTCCACCGGGGCGCTGGGCAATCTTGGGTGACGTGGGTGACCCCCACCAGGCAGGCTGGGGCCAGATGTGAGCTGTGATTCCCTCGCTGTCTTCCTTGGCACAGACTGGGCCTAAACCAGGAGCACAGAGTTGGCCGTCTCGCTCCAGGACGCCGGCTGTCCGGCCCGCCCGTGTTCTCTGGGGACCAGGCCCGGCCTGGACGTGTGGGCTGTGCAGTGCTCAGCAGTGTGCGTCCAGCCGCTCCAGCCGCCAGCCGGACCAGCAGATGAGGGCAGCGTGCTCTGTGCTCCTGGGGCAGGGCAGGTGGTGTCCAGACACCCACTGTGAGCGAGCCGGCCTCTTGGGGGGGAGCGGGCCCCCCGAGAGGCGAGGCTTGGGGGGCCTGGCCAGCCTTCCACAGCCACTGCCCTCCGCCCAGCAGTTGTCACAGCTGTCATGGCCCCGAGTCTCGTTGACTGAGATGAGGGGGGCGTGGCGGGGGTCGGGCCTCGTGGATGCTCAGATCAGGCCAGTCTGAGATGCAGACTTCTGTGCCCAGGTGGCAGGGTTCTGCTGCATGGAAGCTTCTGGAACAAGTCACCTGGGGTTTGCACCGGGCTGCAGCGGGAAGTGGGCCACAGGGTCCCCTGGCTGGCCGAGGAGCTAAGGCCAGGGTCTGAGGCTCTCACCACGCCAGGGCTCCTGCCTGGGCAGGGCCTCAGGGGGACCAGGCCAGCCCGGTGCTGCCCCCGGCAGAGGGACCCAGGTGCTGCCCAAGCGCCGGTGCAAGCACTCTCTCCTAGCACCCCAGAAAATGGAGGTCTGGGGAGGGTCAGCCCCACGGGCACAGCTTCCTGCCCAGGTGACCTTTCAGTGGTGTCAGGTGTGGCGTGTGCTGGCACGTGCGGTGGTCCAGGTGTCCGAGTGCGACAGAGACTCAGTGGTGGTGTGGGGCTGGGGTGCTGCAGGCGCCAGCACAGGCCAGAGCCCAGGAACCCGGAGAGCCATGGCCGCCGTGCCCGGCCAGAGGAGAGGCACAGGACTTGTCCGAGAAGGGGCGGACAGGTGGGCGAGCGGGTGAGGGACGCCCAGGTGCCCAGCAGGGAGCCCCTGCAGTCAAGCTCAGCTCTCCCCACCGCCCTGGGGTAGCCGTCCTCAGAAATGTCCCAACGGAACACAGATGGCTCTGGGAAGCTGCAGAAGCAATCTCGGAAAGTCATCAGCCCTAACGGAATTCAGAGTGTCTAAAAAGCCATCACGTTATATGCGTTGACTGTGGAAAGTTTGGAAAACACAAACACCCAGAGAAACACGGAATATTTTGGCACATTTATTTTTACTTTGTTCCCAAATATTCATTTTCTAGCATCCAATTGAGTGGCCCGGAGTAGCTGCTCACTCGCGTTGCTGCGTAGGATTCCACGAGGAGGGTGGTGTTGTGTGACAAACCTTCTCTGATTTGATAGCTTGCACAGGAAACCTGGATAGTGTGATTGGCATCCCTGGCCATTAGCAAGGGTGACTTTTTCACACCTTTATTGACCGGTTATGTTTCTCCTTCTGCGAAGTACCTGTTCACAGCCCCTGGCCTTTTTGTTATTCATTTCTGAGATCTCTAGAGATGACGATGACGGCTGACCTTTTGCACTAGAGAGACACTAAACATTTCCTCCACGCGGTCCCTTCCGTACGAAGTCTGTCATGTTGAGAGTCTGCCTTCTTGGTGTTTTCTTCCTTAGTTTTTCTGCTGAGGTTTCCTCACTCTGAGATTCCTGTTCTTCTATTTCCTTTATTGTTTATTTCCTGAAACCAAGTCCCTGCACATTTGCTGTCCTTGCTTTGCGTCCTCAGCAAGAGCACCTGGGGCCTCAGGCTTTGGGTCTCCGTTGGGCACGGGGCTGGCTTGGCGTTGGGCAGAGAAGGTGTCATCTCCTTTCTAGACGCCTGCAAACAGGACTCGATTTCCCCTTTGACTTTTAGGAGGTATCTAGTAGCATGTTTTGACGTCTTCAAATGAATGGGGGGTGTGTCTCCTTTTATCCCGTTTTGTGGGAAACTGTGGCCCTTCAGCTGGCTGCCGTCTGGCTTCACTGACAGTAAAGTAGACACGTGACCACGTCTCGTGCACACTTGGAAAAGTCCACATCTGCACGCGGGCGGTTCAGAGAAGACGGAGGTTGGGTCTTCCTCCTCCTGCTGCTCTTTTTTCGTCTCTATCTGGTCTGGCCCTCTCTGTCCCCCTGGGTCTGCCTGGAACCTCGTGCTGGTGGCTGGCTCCGGGTTCAAAGAGGCAGATGCTACTTCACAGTTGCCCCTGGAGTGCTCCAGTCCTGGAAGGGACATGTGCTCCTGCTTCCTGCTCTTCCCAGCTCTGTCCCCAAGGGCACCTTCCTTGTCACGGTGACTCAGTGTCCCCTCTACGGCAGCACAGTCGGGGCAGCTCTGGGGCAAAGCTGCGATGGGTCGTGCGGCCGGGGTTTCTCAAGCACAGCCTGGCCCTGGGGTTTTGCAATTCATGCTTTGTCCTCCCTCTGTGGTCTTGCTTAGCGACTTCTTTCTTTCTTAATGGTTCCTTTTTTTGTTAGAGACAGGGTCTTGCTTTGTTGCCCAGGCTGGAGCCCAGTGGTGTCATCACAGCTCACTGTAGCCTCAAACTCCTGGGCTCCAGCCATCCTCCTGCCTCAGCCTCCCAGAGCGCTGGGACCACAGGTGTGCACCACCACACCTGGCCCGTTCTGCCTTTTGCCATGTGGTCTGTTTTTCACCTGAACCTGCCCATGACTCTCTAGTCGATTTTTCATCTGATGCCACTTTCCCGTCTCAGAACCCCGGGGCTGAGAGCTTTGCTTGCCATGAAACAGGATCCTCCTTAGCTGTGTCCATTTGGTGCTGGGGTGCAGGGGGCGGCCCCGAGGGGCTCTTGAGGAAGGGAGACCCAGCCTGCTGTGCACTTCCTGCCGCCGTGCTCGGCTGCGCCAGTGTTTCCCTATCACATGGTGCCCGGGTCCAGAACGGCTCCGATGCAAAGTTCTCATCGGTCTGTGGGGCCTTGGGCTTCCCAGGCAGCCTCAGCTTAGGGTTGTGCACCTTTGTCTCTGTCAGGGGACCCCCACTTAGGCCCAGAAAACCCTTGCAGAAAACCAGGGGCTGGAGGAGGGGCCACACAGCTGGGCTGGAAGGGCAGCAGGGAGGGGGCCGCCCACCTCCCGCCAGGCTCCTCCTGCCTCCTTGCCCCTGCCGGTTCCACCCTGGGCCACCCCTGCCGAGCTGAGGGCCTGTGTGTGCCGGGTTCCTGTGCCCTCTGCACCATGCAGTGTCCAAGCCCGTCCCCACCTCCAGTCACACAGAGGAAACCGAGGCAGAGAGAGGCCCAGAGGGTTTCAGGCCTCTAGGGGCCCATCCTGGCTGCTGCACCCCCCTCTCCCACGAAGAGGGGAGGGCGTGGGCTCCAGGCACCCCCTCTGCCTCGCCGGGCAGGGCTGGGACTCGGCCCGTCTGCCCCCCCGCGCCCACAGAGCTGCCATTCTCGGGGCTCAGCGTGGGCGTCCGCGGCTGGGGTGGGGTCTCACTCTCCTCCGCAGCCCCCCAGCTCCGAGCCTGCCAGGGCTGCCACCCACAGCCCGACACTCGGCCGGGGAGGGGCTACACCCAGCCCTGCCCACTTCCCGTGGTCAGGCCCGGGTCACTGCGGTCTGTGGGTCAGGCCTGCTGTGGCCAAACCTCGCTCCCACCTTGGTGCAGGGGCGGGGGTGTGTGTGCGCAGGTGTGATTGGGGGCCCAGGTCCACATCCTGCTGGTCTCGGGGCCTCAGTTTCCCCATTCAAGGCTCCAGGGCGGTTGGATGCCGGTTGCCATGCGTGTTTTGGGGGGCGGGGGGAACCCAGTCTGTGGCCAGACAGGACAGGCCCAGAGTGAACCGAAACCGCATCCCAGCCCACTGCTGTGGCCCAGGCAGCCAGAGCAGGCTGCGAGTTCTGCTTTTGACCCTGGAAGGGGAAGGACTGTGGGTTCCGTTCTGACATTTCTGGGCTCTGGTTGTAATCTCACCGGGGACCAGGGAACAAGGTTGCCTCCAAGAAGACAGGAACTTGGGGCTGGTTGGGGCCTCCACACCGTGGGACCCCCGGCGGGAGCCGCTGGATGACCTCCCTCTGGCCTCGGAGCCCCTGGGCGCCTCCAAGGTGCCCCAGAGCCCTCAGGCCACAGGACCCAGCCCCATCGTCCAGGCGACAGGGCCTGGGTCCCTGGGTTCTCGGGCCCCAGGTCGGGGCAGGTGGGGGGAGGCCCTGATCTTTGTTTCTGATAACAGCCCGAGTAAGAGAACTGTCACTTCCTGCCACGGCCTCCTGGGGACTCGCCTTCTCCCAGCCTGCCTGCTGTCAGACCCCAAGTTCTCAGGCCCTGGGAGCCCAGACCCAGGGCCCCACCCCGCAGAGCACACCCCACCCCCCCTCCGGAGCCAGGGCAGGGAGGGAGGCGGGAGGGCGAGGCGGAGGTGGAGCCCCACCCCCACTCCCGGCCCAGAGGGCCTGTTTGTTGGGAAGGTGCTGCGGCTCCAGCACCAGGCCCACGCCTGCCTCAGTCGCTTCCCCTGGGGGAGGTCAGGGCCGGGGTGACCACCGAGCAGCCCCCGTTGCTGTCGACACCAGGTTCTAAGGACAGGGAGGGTGTGGATCTAGGAACAAAGCGGCAGGTCCCCAGGAGCTGGGGGCTCTGGCAAGTCAGGGGACCCTGCACGGCACGGCCCGCCCTGCCTGGCACCTGGGCACCTGGGCACCCGGGCAGGCCTCTCGCAAGGCCAGACCACCGGCCTCAGGGTTGGTTTCTCTTCTTGGCCCCACCTCTGCCGCCACCAAGGGACCCAGAGACGGGGCCACGTGATCTCCGCTCTGCGCGCAGGTGCTGTTCACGAGGACTCAGGCAGAGCGCGCAAACCACGTGCGTGTGGTGTGCGTGTGTGGTGTGTGGTGCATGTGGTATGTGTGATGTGTGCGGCGTGTGTGTGGTGTGTATGTATGATGTGTATACGTGTGTGGTGAGCGCATATGTGTGGCATGTGATGTGTGCATGTGTGGTGTGTATGTGTGTGGCACTTGTGGTATACATGGTGGATGTGTGTGGTGTGTGTGCATGTGTGTGGTGTGTGCATGTGTGTGGTGTGTGCATGTGTGTGTGGGGTGGCGTGTGCATGTGGTGTGTACACATGTGTGGTATGTGTGATGTGTATATATGTATGTGGTGTGTGCATGCATTTATGTGCATGCATGTCTGTACATGCGTGTGCCGCCCACTCCATGCAGCCGGGCCTCCCCCCCTGCTGGTGGCTGGGCCCAGGCCAGGGACTCCTAGTGGCCGAGGTGTTGGCCCCGATGGAGCCTCGGGCCCCGCAGCACAGGGACGGGACCGGCTCTGAGTCCCAGGCCAGCCGGGAGGGGCTCCGGGGTGGTTGGCCCAGACGCCGGGCCCGAGGCCTGTCCCTGAGACCCCTCCCTCCCTCCACAGGACATGCCGGGCCGGTGCCACCCGCTGCTCGCCCTGGCGGGGCTGCTCTGCCTCGGGCCCGGTGAGTCTGCGGGCGACTCCACGTGCCGTCCCGTGGGGAGAACATGGCCACCCTCGTGTCCCCTGGACGGGAGTTCCCGGGTGGCTGGGAGAGGGCCCAGGCGTTGGGGCGGTGGCTCTGCCCTGGGGGCTGACGCAGGGCACCCCCCCAGTCTGCCTCCCCCTTCCTGGGCCTCCCAGACCCTCCTCCCCGCCCACCCCGAGGGGCGGCCCAGGGCGGCGGCGCCCACTCACCCCCGCCTCACCCACTCGTCCGCAGCCCTTGCCGAGGAGTGCACCAAGTACAAGGTCAGCACCTGCCGGGACTGCGTGGAGTCGGGGCCCGGCTGCGCCTGGTGCCAGAAGCTGGTGAGCACCGGGGCGGGGCCCTTCCTGCCTCCCCTCTCCGGGGCCCCTCTCCTGCCTCTGTAGCCAGGGACACAGGAGGCCCCCAGCCCCCTTTTCTCCTGGGGGTGGCAGTGGCCCAGAGGCTGCCAGGCTGGTCTGAGACCAGGAGAGATGGACCCGGCCGCCCAGGCCAGCCCCGGCCCAGGGGCCGCCTGTGCCCCGAGGCAGCGGTCCAGGCAGGGGGTTGTGCGGGAGCCCAGGCCAGACACCCCACGAGAGGGGCTCCCGAAGGGGGGCAGCAGCTAGCCCAAGGTGCTCTGACCAGCCCACCTCCCCCTGCCGAGGGCTCCCCCAGGGGTCCCAGACCCCAACCATGCCCTCCCCAGGGTCGCCAGGCCTATTTGAAAACACATTATTTTTTCTTGACCATCTGAGAGTAGGTTGTAGACATGCAGCTCCTCTGTCCCTTAGTACTTCTGGGGTCTTCCTTACGAGCAAGGTATTCCCTTAGAAAACCACAGAAATGTACTTTGATAAATACATTAATCATAATTAGGAAATTTCACGTTGGTCTCTCATGATCAAATCTTCACACTTTATGCAAATTTGCTGATTGTCTCAATAACGTCTGACCTGGGCCTGGCCCCTCGGCTGAGACGCCCTGCCAGCCTCCGAAGCCACCGTCCCTCCCAGTTGCTCTGCCTTGGTGGTGGCAGCATGGTGATGTCCTCGTCCCTTAGCCCCTTCCCTCGGCTTCCCCCGTGCAGGAGAATCTCTCCCCCCCCCGATCCTTCTCACCAGTGGGGACGGGAGGTTTCTATTTGCTCCGCAGCGTTTAGTCTGTGACTGTCACTTTTTCGTTGTGACGCTCGAATTGCCCCAGGCCTGGCCACGGGAGCTGGTGAGGTCGGGCGTCTGGGCTGCTTCCGCCCTGGGCTGTGTCTTTTAGTTAAAAGGGGGAACAAAGCATCGGGAACACGCTCTGTCCTTCGAGGAAGGTTCCAGTCCTCTCGGCAGAGCCTATGGGGTCTTTGCTGGCAGCTTCCGACTCCCCCAGCCCTACAGGGACTCTGTGCCCGGTTCCGGGTGCAGAGAAGGAGGGGTCCCCGAGGGTTGGTGAGCGTCAGCCTCCTTTAGCCCACACAGCCTGGCCCCCACATTTCTCTGCCCTCGTCCTGACCCCCGACACCTCTCCCCCAGAACTTCACAGGGCCAGGGGACCCCGACTCCATCCGCTGCGACACCCGGGAGCAGCTGCTCATGAGGGGCTGCCCGACTGATGACATCATGGACCCCAGGAGCCTGGCCGAGCCCCTGAAGGACCGACAGGGGGCCCGGAAGCAGCTGTCCCCGCAGCAAGTGACGCTCTACCTGCGGCCAGGTAGGCCGGGCCTCGGCGGGGTGAGCCGGGCACACAGTGTGGGGCTGTTCCGGGGCCCTGCTCTGGGCGAGTGTTCAGGCCGGACGGCAGGGTGCCCGGGGAGGCCCAAGCACTGCCGGGCACTCAAGGCGGGAGTCTGAGCCCCCACGGCCTTCCTCTCCGTGCCCGGGCGATTGCCCCAGCCCCACTGTCTGCAGCGGGGTATCTGGCTCCCTTTGCCCTGTGTCCTGCGCCCTAAAAGGGAGAACGGGCCATCTGGAAACACTATTCTAGCCCTTGTCAGAAGGCCGTGGTCCTCTTAGCAGAGTAAAGGCTCTGGTAAGTCCTGCAGCTGGGAGACCTGGGTGACTGTTTAAACCTGCGCCACCCAAACTGACCTGACCGGAGAGCCCTGTTGCAGAACACAGCCCTGTCCATGCTCCGAGACACGCCCTCCCGGGACAGGGCTGCGGTGCAGCAGTGGACGGAGCAGAGGCCTGGGGTGGGCGGCCCCTCCCTGCTGGCGGTGCCTAGGCCACGCGAGGCCCGTGAGGGAACAGGCAGCCATCCCTGAGCGCGGCGCGTGGGAGAAGGCAGCACCCCAGGGAGGGCGGCGTGGAGGGCCGGTGGGGTTGGGCCGAGCAGTCCCTCCTGCGGGAGCAGCCAGGGCAGAGCCGGCCGAGCTGGCCCCGGGGCACAGTGGGCGGGACAGCCGGGTGAGGGCCGGCAGCAGGGAGGAGGTCCTGGCCCGACCCCTGCCCTGGTGTCCCCACCTCCTAACACCATCTCCTCGGGCGTGAGGATCTCAGCGCGTGAACTCTGGGGACGCGAGCACTCGGGCCAGGACACACGGACGTTCTTGTGCAGTCTGCCACTCGGGACAGGATGCGGGGTGTCTCCCTACGCACCGTCACGGGGGCACCCACGCGAGCCTAGATGGCGTGGCCGCCGCACGGTGGCTGTCGCTCCCGGGCCACGCGCCTGTGCGGCGGGTGACGGCGCTGGTCGCCGCGGGCCACTGCGACACGGGGCAGGCCCCATGCATCAGCCACGTCCAGACACGGGAAGGTGCAGGGAACATGCAATTAGACTCTGTGGGACCACCGTGGTGCACATGGTCCTTCCACGAGCGTCGTCACGCGGCACATGACCGTGTGGGGAGCGTGTGTCCTTTCTCTGAACTCACGTCCCCCCGGGCGTCCTGTGTCTGACCCTCACCCCCTGCCGGGCGCGGGAGGGCGTCCGCAGGGTTTGGGCTGCGGAGAGCGCGTGGGCGAGGGCCTGGGCCCCACTCTGGCGTCCCCGTCGGCAGGTCAGGCGGCCGCGTTCAACGTGACCTTCCGGCGCGCCAAGGGCTACCCCGTGGACCTGTACTACCTGATGGACCTCTCCTACTCCATGCTGGACGACCTCATCAACGTCAAGAAGCTGGGCGGCGACCTGCTCCGCGCCCTCAACGAGATCACGGAGTCCGGCCAGATCGGTGAGGCCACGGCCCTCCGGCCCGGCTCGTCCTCCCCGTCCCCGGCTGCCCTGCCGCCCACACGCCTTGGGCAGGTGCCCGGGGCCAGGGCTGGGGGCTCCGACACGGCCCTCCCCCAGGGTGCCCGTGGGGCTGCGGTGGGGCCTGCGTCCCCACCAGGGACACGACCAGCCACTGGCCCCCGAGACCGCAGACTTCGCCCGGCCCCCCTCCTCTTCCCCTGCTTGTGTTGCTGTTCGCTGTGTTTAAAATGCAAACGTCTCAAGCCGGGCGTGGTGGCTCACGCCTATAATCCTAGCACTCTGGGAGGCCAAGGGGGGCGGATTGCTCGAGGTCAGGAGTTCGAAACCAGCCTGAGCAAGAGCAAGACCTCGTCTCTACTATAAATAGAAAGAAATTAATTGGCCAACTAATATATATAGAAAATTAGCCGGGCATGATGGCGCATGCCTGTAATCCCAGCTACTCGGGAGGCTGAGGCAGAAGGATCACTCAAGCCCAGGAGTTTGAGGTTGCTGTGAGCTAGGCTGACGCCACGGCACTCACTCTAGCCTGGTCAACAAGCGAGACTCTGTCTCAAAAAAAAAAAAAAATGCAAACGTCTCACGTTTGAGTAATGCTAATTACTGAGCATTAAAGGCCCCAGAAGCGCGCGGACCACACGGGAATCACAGCACTAAAGACACAGTCACAGCCAGCTCTGCCGGGCCGAGCGTCTCAGCGCTCCCCACGCCCCGACTCGAGTGCAAAGTGCAGGTCTCGGGCGCACACGCGTCAGGGATGAGGGACCCTCTCACCCACCAGTGCCGCTCCCAGAAGAGCACTCCGCCGCCTTCTCCGTGTGCAGGACGCACAATGCACACTCAGACACGTGGATGCTCGCTCACACAGCTGCTCATGCACACGCTCACATGCACACACACACTGGTGCTCACACATGTACATGCCTCCACACATACCTTGCCACACGTTTACATGCACACACAATCATGCCCCTGTGTATAAGACCATGCATGTGCGAATGCATACACACCAACATGCATGCATGAACAACACACATTTGTGCTTACACATGTATGCGTTCACACGCACATGCTCACATGCCCAAACATGAACCTGGTCACACATGTGGATCAGGTATATCCACACTTGAACATACTCACATGCATATAGGAACACATATGCACAGTCATGATCATGTATATAACATCACATGTGCAGACACAGATGTACTCACATGCACACATGTACATGGTTGCACTCTCTGATTCACACACATGGCTGCACACATGCACACGAGTGCTTGCACAACACACACACACTCTCACATGCGCCATCCTGCTTTCTCCGCTGCCCTGCTACAAGATGGGGAAACTGAGGCTCGGCCCTCATGCCCCCTGAGGCCAGCCTGCTGCGTCCCCAGCCACGTCTGTGTCCCTCAGGCTTCGGGTCCTTCGTGGACAAGACGGTGCTGCCATTTGTCAACACGCACCCCGACAAGCTGCGGAACCCGTGCCCCAACAAGCAGAAGGAGTGCCAGCCCCCCTTTGCCTTCAGGCACGTGCTGAAGCTGACCAGCAACGCCGGCCAGTTCCAGACCGAGGTCGGGAAGCAGCTCATCTCCGGAAACCTGGACGCCCCCGAGGGCGGGCTGGACGCCATGATGCAGGTCGCCGCCTGCCCGGTAAGGACACGCCCCCACGTAGGTGTCCCGTGTCCCTGACGTGGAGCCTCAGTCCCGTGGGGATCACCTTAGGGACTGGATCCCAGGGCCTCGACCGCTGCCTCTGCCTCCTCTCCTCCCGGCTGTGTGGGAGAGCACAGTGCGGAAACCGAGGCAGGTGACCCCTCCCCCTCCTCACATTTTCTCCCCAGGAGGAAATCGGCTGGCGCAATGTCACCCGGCTGCTGGTGTTCGCCACGGACGACGGCTTCCACTTTGCGGGCGACGGGAAGCTGGGTGCCATCCTGACCCCCAACGACGGCCGCTGCCACCTGGAGGACAACATGTACAAGAGCAGCAACGCATTTGTGAGCGCCCCTCCCCCGAGTCCTCCAGGCCGCTGCCTCCCCAGACCCTCAGGGTGGGAGGCCCTGTGGCCACTGGCCATTTATGGGGTGGCGAGCGCAGGGGCAGGACAGAGGCCGAGACCCTCAGGGTGGGAGGCCCTGTGGCCACTGGCCATTTACGGGGTGACGAACGCAGGGGTGGGACAGAGGCCGAGACCCTCAGGGTGGGAGGCCCTGTGGCCACTGGCCATTTACGTGGTGACGAGCACAGGGGCAGCACCTCGCCAGAGCCAGGGCCTCCTTCCAACCTAAATAGCACGTCCTTGGGGAAATTTCCGGAAGCCCCTAGAGGCAATGTTGGGTCCCTGGGCACCAGCCTCAGGCCGGGGAGGCGCTGGGTGGTCCCGCCGAGCCCCGGCCTCACCCTCGTGCACCAGGCCCTGCGGTCGCCCGCCTGCTGTGGCCTGGTGGGTGGCAGGGGCGTCTGCTCTGGCCCGTGGGGTCAGGGGCAGCGACCGCCCAGGGCCGACCCCCACGTGGCCCCACACCCGCAGTGCCCGGCTGGGCGGCCGCAGGGCACTGAGGAAATGCGGCTGGAGAGGTGGGAGCTCTCTGGCTTGGCCTCCAGGCCACCGTCCTGCCCAGGGTGTCCCTGCCGGCTGTGACTCTGTGCCGACACGTCCTGAAATCGCAGACTCTGGGGCCACAGAGGACTTCAGAGATGACAGCCCGGGTCCTCCACCTGCAGGGCAGGGGGGGCGGGAGCTCTCCGGGCCGTGACCTTGGGCGGGAGCGAGCACCGCCTCCGTGCAGGGGCCTCTGCCGGAACGAGGGCCCTTCAGTGAGGAGCGCAGGTGCCGCATGGGGGGGCATCTGCCCATCCCCCAGCGCCCCGCACAGACCCCTCCAAACGCCCCCGCACTGCTGTTGGCCGCGACAGTCCGGGCGCAGCTGTGCCACTAGGTTTCCTTGTCGCTGCGTTGGTCGAGGAGCTCACAGTGTCCGCACCTTCTCAGCTGCGTCTCAGTCTGACTGGTCCCCCATCGTCCCGCCAGCCGTGCATCCGTGCACCCTCCCCCGTGAAGGCGCCACCAGCAGCGCGAGGAAGGGCCAAGGCTGGGCCGGGCTGCGCCCTCTGGGCCCAGGGCAGTGGCTTCACGGGCGGGAGGGGCTGGTGGGGCCGGCTGACCGGGCATGTCCCCTCCCCAGGACTACCCGTCGGTGGGCCAGCTGGCGCACAAACTGGCCGAAAGCAACATCCAGCCCATCTTCGCCGTGACCAAGAGGATGGTGAAAACCTACGAGGTGAGTGGAGTCGGGGTCCTGGCGTCGGGCAGGGCGGCCGCTGGGGCAGGAGGACGAGGCCCAGCGACACACACACAGGCCGGAGCGCCGCTGCCACGTGCTGGGCATGGGTGCCGGCCTGGCCCAGCCTCGGTTTCCCTGGTTGAGAAGCCTGAGGCCTCTTTGCAGCGGCAGGACACCTGCACGTGAACACGAGAAGGAATTTTTCCCAGGCCCTGAAGTTCAGTGCTGTTAGCAGCACCTTGGTGTTAGGGGTGGTGTCCCCAAGCTTGCTGGGACACAACAGGGACGGGCGTCGGGGGCGGCCGCTGTGGACAAGGAGGCTGGGGCAGGGCAGGGTGGCACCAGCCCAAGCACGCGTCCCGGAGAACGGCAGGGTCAGGACGTGAGCCAGGCTGCCGAGCCCACAGCACCAGCAACGTCCCCACGCGGCCTCTGCCCAGGACCCAGGCCGGCCCCGGTCGGCCAGCTCCCCACCAGGCACGGAACGTTCCGGCACCAGTCTGGGGCCTCCCCTCAGTGGGGCGCTCTGAGCATCTACTCGCCCCGTCCAGGAAGACAGGGCGGCAGAACTGAGGGGAGAGGCGACTGCTAGCCGGTGGCTCTGGGGCAGCCCACCCAGCCTGGGACAAGCCCTCGATAACCAGCAGGAGCAAACACCAAAGCAGACTCGACCCGGGCCTTGGCGCTGGCGTGGAACGGCCCGTCCCCGCCTGGGGGAGGATGCGCCGTCTGCGCCCCCTGCCTGGGTTTGGAAAGCGCAAGTGGCATCAGGCCTGACGTCCCCAAACCCCACGGCCAGGGAGCTCACTCCACGCTCCCACTGTGGAAACCGAGGCCCCTGGGAGGAAGCCAGAGCCCGACTCATGTTGTCGGGGTGCCCTCGGCCCCCGCAGCCCCCAGAGCAGAGGGCCTCCCCCGTCCACCTCTCTCTGAAGACGGCGGCCACTGGCGTCAGAGTGTGGAGCGAGCGGCGGCAGGACTGAAAAAGACGGCGTTCCCGTGGTGGGGTGGCACCTGCAGCCCTTGCTCCCTCTGCCGGGGCGTGGCCCCCCCTGTCAGCAGTGGCCGGGCAGGCACAGGCTGTTTCCAGCGCACTGGCCAGGGCGTGTCCTGCATGTCTGCTGCTAATGACACGTGTGTGGCCTGGCCCGAGAAGACTGCAGGGTGCTGGGTGAGGCCTCCGGGGTGCGTTCAGGATGCTCGGGGGTTGCTGGGTTCCCCGGACCGCGCTCAGGCTCCACGACTTGCTGGAAAGACCTGCAGAGCTCAGAGCAGCCGCTGAACTCAGGCGGTGGCTGATCACAGCGGAGGACACGATGAAAGCCATTTCCTCCTCATGACGGGGTGGGGCAGTGATGCCCACCCGGTGACTCAGAGAGCAGCTGCCCCAAAGGGCCAGATTACCCTCATCCGGTCAGTGGCCGCAGTGACAGCCAGTCCTCGCCCTCAGGGCACGTCACTGCCTTCGTCCACTTGGACACAGACCCGGCCGACCGCCCCCTCCTGCCGAGGCTCTGCGCAGCCCGCGCCCTCCCCGCCCCTCGCTGCTCAGGGCGAGAGGATGAATCCCGGGTTGGGGAGACAGCGCGGCCCGAGCTGAGCTGGGGGGTGGGGAGGGGCCGGCTGGGGCCACCTGGGTCTCAGGGAGCTGCGCCCACCCCGCCACCCGCTGCTCAGGACGAGTGGACAAATCCCGGGTTGGGGAGACGGCTCGGGCCCCTGAGCTGAGCTGGGGGGTGGGGAGGGGCCGGCTGGGGCCACCTGGGTCGCAGGGAGCTGCGCCCACCCCAGGGTGACGCGCAGCTGGAACTGGCCTGCCATGGCGGCTGCCACGGGGACAGTCAGCATTAAAATTAACTCCCGTAAACTCATCAAAACACTCGGAACTCTTCACTTCCTGATAATTTCACCGCATTTCACTGTGGTCCGTGTGCTTGGGCTGCTTCTGCCCACTGTACTTTGTGGTGGAAACCCTACCCGATGGTGGCAGCCACGTATCCTGTCCCACCTCAGTGAGGCCACGAGTCTGGAATGCACCAGGCCAGCAGTGTCTACACGGCAGCAGTGAGCAGACGCCACAACGCAGGGCTTTTGCTCTCCAAGAGCCGGTTGTCACTTACCAGGGTGTCTCTGCGGGTGGCTCTTCTCGCCACGTGACACGAGAACCCCGCCCGGGGCCCGCCATGGTGCTCCGCGACAACAAGGCTCCAGACTCCCCATTCCGGCTCTCCCCCCTGCTGGATTCTATGGAGAAGTGGGGGGTGGACGGCTGGGGGCTGGGTAATGCCCACGGGGGAGGGAGGCCCAATCGCGGGGTGGTTCGGGCCCCACGACGGCAGCCTCGGGTCGAGGCGTCCTCCTGGTGTGGCTCCCCCCACCCACCTGGGCCCACCCCACAAGGAGTTTCCCCGAACACCCTCGTCCAACACACATCCTGCCTGGCGTCTGGCCCGGTCCGCGCCAGGCTGCCACTGTGGGCTCACTGTCCCGGTGGCACGGCCGGGAGCACCTGCAGCTACGCTACGCTCAGGGCCGCGCGTGCCCGCAAAGCGTCCCCCGCCTCGGTAAGAGCCAACCGGCGGGAGACGACTCTCTGCAGATGATCGCGGGCTGCGACACCATCCAGGCCTCAGGCATGTCGGTCTTACAGGACGCGCGGCAGCGCGGGAGCCCAGACAGTCCTTCCTGGCACTGAGTTAGCCCCAGAGCCCAAAGACGGGGTGCCCCTCGCTGCTCCAGCTCTGCCCACCCAGACCCAGAGCCGCTCCCAGCGCGCCAGCCACTGCCGCCCGTGCTCACACAGACAAAGCGGATGGCACGGCCGCAACGGCTCCTTCTCGCTCTCTCACCGTCTCCTGGTCTCTCCTTCGTCACGCTCTGTCTCTCCTGCCCCACCTGTCCTCTGTGTGCTCTCCCCATGTCCTGTCTCTGCGTTGAGTCTCGTGCCTCCTCCATCTCTGTCGCTGTCGTCTCTGCTCTGAGCCCTGTCGTCTCCCCATCTCTGGCTCTGAGTCTCTGTCTGTCCCCATTCTCTGTTCTGTGATCCTGGCGCTTGGTCTCTTCCCATCTCGTCTCTGTGTCCTGCTCTCTGAACCCTTCCTCTCCCCATCTCTGGCTCGAATCCGTGTTTGCTCCCATCTCCTGTCTCTGTACTCTAGGCTCCTGAGTCTCTCTCCCCCATCTCTGTCTCTGTGACTCTGGCTCTGAGTCTCTCCTCCCCATCTCTGTCTCTGTGACATCGGCTCTGGTCCTTGTCCTCCTCCCCGCATCCTCGTCCCCTGTGAACTCTGGCTCCTGAGTCTTTCCCTCTCCCACATCTCTGGTCCCTGTGATCTTGGCTCAGTCTTCTGTCCTGTCCCCCATCTCTGTCTCTGCCCCATCTGTCTCTGTGACCGTGGCCTAGTCCCTGTCTCTCCCCATCTCCTGTCCCTGTGACCTGGCTCTCCAGTCTCTGTCCTATCCCCATCCGTCTCTGTGCTTGTCTCTGCCTCATCTCTGGCCCTGAGTGTCTGTCCCCATCTCTGTCTCTGTGACACCTGGCTTGAGTCCCTATTTCCTCTCCCCATCTCTGTCATCTGTGACCTCTGGCTCTGAGCTACCTATCTCTCCCCCATTCTCTGTCTCTGTGACTCCTGCTCTGAGTCCCTAATCTCTCCCCAATCTCTTGGTCCCTCGGATCTGGCATCCTCATCTCTGCTATCCCCATCTCGCTGGTCTCTGTCTCTCCCCATCCTCCTGTCTCGTGTGACTGTCCCCAATCTCTGTCCTGCTGTGACTCTGGCGGTCCCCATCACCCACTAAGCAACCTCTCGCAGCTCCTCCCTGTGCCTGGGCCTGCCCTCCAGCCCGCCCTCACGGCCTCTCACACACGTGTCGCACAGTGTCCCTCGCACTTGGCCTGATCTTGGGGGCGTAGGAACCTGGGCGTTGGCAGCCCCCGCCATCGACAGCACCTTCCCGTGCGCACTCGCCCCTGGCGTGTGGTCACTCAGTCCACCGCCGGCCCCGAGGGACGTGGAAGCAAGCCCGAGCGGTCCAGACCGGAGAGGGACCCAGGCCGGACAGACCGGCTCAGCCCGCTCCAGTCGCCACTCTCTGCCCACAGAAACTCTCTCCAGGTCTTCCTGGCAGCACGGCGCGCGCTCCCCTGACAACCCTGAGATCCACCTACGACTCCTTCTGCAGCAATTGGAGTGATCCAATCACGAGCGCTCAACCCCGAGGGACTGCGACGGCGTGCAATCAACGTCCCGGTGAGCATGGCCCGTGTCACCAAGGTCCCCTGTCCTGACATGGCTGGCAGGGTCCCAAGG